GGTTCAATCAATCAATCAATCGGCAAATATTTGTGTAAAGGCTTGAACTATCAGTTCTGCTCCATTGACACACCCTTTTGCATTGGCCAATGTACTGTTCAGAGAAAGGTCAGAAAGCCCCTTGATTGACAACAGTGATTACATCCTACTGCTTCTGGCTCTTTCTAAATAGATACCAAATAATCCATCAACAAGCACTTATATTGTAGGTATGCATATGTATCGTCTGGTCTACTGAATCAATGGATCAACATTCATTATTATCTTCTTTTTCCTCCTTTTGCTTTGGACTTTGAAAATATGGTCTTACTTGCAACTCAGACAAGCCTCAAACTCATAACCAGACTTCTGATTAGTTACAGACAGGTACCACCATGCTCAGGATCTCTGTCCATCTTACATGTTTCTGTTCTTCCAGTAACAGATTATTATATTAATACATAGCATTTGCAAAAAGTATGTGTCTAATAAGGTGCTTTAATTCTTAACCTTACTAAAAATAATACTTTTCCCCCTTTCATTGCTGAAGGACCATACTTCTCTATCCTACTATAAAGGGATTAAGGATGTTGTCAATATGTACAATGCCCAAGTGGCACACACAATGCCATGGGTTTGATCTTAGCACTGCATAAAACTAAACATGATGGTGTATAATTTCAACACTTGGGAAGTAGAAGCAGGAGGGTTGGAAGTTCAAGGTCATCCCCAACAACCCAACAAGTTCAAGGCCAGCCTAAGTTGCATGAGACTGTCTCAAAGAACAAGAGAAAAAAACTAGAAAAGAAGGGAAGGAAGGATGGAGGGAATGAAGAAACAAAGAAAGGGAAGAAAGAAAGAAGAGTTGCTCATGGTAGTACACACTTTTAATCCCAGCACTCAGAAGTCAGAAGCTGTTGGATCTCTGAGTTCAAAGCCAGCCTGATCTACAGAGTGAGTTCCAGGACTACACAGAGAAACGGTCTTGAAAACTAAAACACAAAACAAATCAAAACAAACAGAAGAATGAAAACTGGCATACAGGCAGATTCTGTTTTGGAAATAAATAAAATTTTTTGATAAGAAGTAAAACTGTTTTTTTACTTCAAAATTAATATTTTCCATTTTATCTCAGTCTAAAGCAGAATTTGGAGCATGGTGCATTTCTCAGTCCTTTGCTCATATTCCTGGAATAGTCACCCAAAATTTAGAGTTTCCTTCAATTCCCCTCATCTCACAGGAATCGCCCTGGCACAAGTCTGGGCCTGACCCATATAACATCTCTTAGATTCATGGCTTTCAGAGAATGTTTGAGTCTTCTTTTCATTGCAGCATGGCTATGGACCTCTGAATTCCCGCAACTCATGATTGACCTTCACGTCACTAAAATCAAAGATATGTTCTCCTCTACGTGAGGCTCAATGATTATTGGAGAAGAGGAGGTAGTAAGAGTGTTAAGGACCTGCGATTGTGGATAACTATACGAGAACATTATTTTCTGGACACAGCAAGGTAACACTGGTTGTTATAGCTTACACAAATCTGTATTACATCCATAATAGAACAAACATCAGTGTAGAGTGGGAAAATGAGCACGCAATCCCGCTGTCAGCCATGGAGCTGTTGGAAATTGTTAGCTACAAGCAGAAAGAGAGTAAGTAAGAGTGTAGCCCCTGGTATGTCAGCCACACTACAGTATTAGACCACACATCCAAGAACATTCATGTAGCACAAATTAGTCTTGAAGGCAGAAAAAAAAGACTAAGTTAGATGGGTTGGGAAGTGGGGTGTATCTGGGAAGATGTAGAAGAGATGAAAATGATCAAAGTACATTATATGAAATTCTCAAAGAACTAACTAGATAGATAGATAGATAGATAGATAGATAGATAGATAGATAGATAGATAGATAGATAGACATGCAGGGAGAGAGAGAGAGACAGAGACAGAGAGAGAGAGAGAGAGAGAGAGAGAGAGAGAGAGAGAGAGAGAGAGAGAGAGAGAGAGAGAGGCCAAGTGATTTAGGAAAGTATTCTATGACTAAGCTGTACCCCATGCCTGCTGGAATTTGTGAAAATCCTATTTAAATAATCTTTAAAAAAACACTTCTCTTTGTCTTTGAATCCCCAGGAAATAGAACAATATAATGGTAAACAAAACCTGGAAGTGAGGTCAGATTATGTGATGCTGTAGTTTGGAGCCTGGGTATCCTCTCAGACTCATGTATCAGAACGGTGATTCCAGAGTGGCAGAGTTGGGGGGGTCTAGTGAGTTGCTTTAAGTAATGGCACATGGCATATGAGAGAGATTGTGTGAGTCTCATCTTTTCCTATTGCCCCCACTTTCAGTGTGACAATCATGAGGTAAGCAGTTTTGCTCTTTCCTAACTGTAGGTCCAAGAGCAACAAGGCTTATTGATCATGAACTGAAGATTCCCTACATGAACCAAAACAAATAGAGTCTCTTGTTAAGTTCCTTATCTCAGTTATATGTGACAGCAATGGAAAGGCCACACTCCTGATTCACTGCATGTATAACATCTTGCTTCATCCATGAGGTAAGGAAGACAATTGTAGGGGACAAGAGCTGGCTCAGCAGTTAAAGCACTTGTCCTGTAGGCAGCAGCCTGATGAACAGAGTTCACATCCCCAAGAACCCACATGAGTGCCAATGGTAGTACTAGCCTGCCTGTACTTCCGGCACTCAGGAGACAGAGATGACAAATCCCTTAAGTAAGTTGTGTAGCTAGACTGGCTGTACCAACAAGACCTGGATTTAATTGAGGAACCCTGCCTGGACACCTAAGAGATAGAACGCTTGAAGAAGACTTCCACATACATGCACACATGTCTGCATGTTCTCCCATGGCTGTAGATCTATACACATGCACATTCTTCCACATTTGCAGATATTCACAGGAAAGAAGAAAGAAAGAAAGAAGGAAGGAAGGAAGGGAGGGAGGAAGGAAAGAGGGAAGCAAGGAAGGAAGATAGCAGTAGTATATATGCATCATAGAATATATGGAGATATTTGATGAGTTTATGAAAGCAAAGACCTGAGGAAATAGCTAACATACTAGAGCCACAATTATTAGAGGCTATTAATTAGCTCCCTTCCTGTTTAGCATACAGCTAATTTTATCTTCTATGATCACAATCTTTTTCATTAGTAACTATGCCTCCCACTGAACTTAAAAGTCAACCCCAGTCGCACCTCTCCATCACAGGTCCTTTCTTTGAGATCTCAGTCATCATGTCCAACTTTCTTTTCTATATATCTACTTTGATGGCTCACACACCTCTTAAGTGCAGCTTCCCTCTTCTACCTGGTTTCCTTTGTACAAGGAAGCACACATATTTCATGTGCTGCTTGAACTAGAATACGAAGAATAACCTTCTGTGATGTTGGCACTGGTATTCAAGTCCCGAGATGTCATCATCCCATCTATCTTTATAACTATGTTATTCAGACCTTGTAAATAGCTATCACATGCCATATGGACTATTGTTGTAGTCTTCAACAGACTTGCTTCTCAGCACTCTGACGTCTTTAACTCTGTTGTCTCTGTATCTAAGAGAACAGTCTTTCCAGAGGTGATGAGGTTGTATGCTTAGAGAACCCTGTTTTTTTGGTTTTTTGATCTTTCATAGTAAAGACGGGCTAACTCCTTGGCTGAACTCAGAAGACACACGGGGCTCAGTTTTAAGTTACCCTGAGCTTTCTTTTGCTTGCACTGCCATTGTTTTATATTATGAAAATTATTCAGTCTACTCAGTTCAGGGCCTGTCCACAAGCCTCATCTGTTCCTGCTTTGTGTGGAGTCTTTACTGTGGCATCACGTGCTCAGGAAAGCATCCTCTGATCTTCATGACCATATATGTTTTATATCCCTCTTGTTTCCGATGCTTAACATGACTATATCTGTATATTCCTCATGACACTCTTTGATTGTGCCTGTCTCATAACAAACTGCAAATTCTGTGTGGCTATACCTTCAAGAGGAGACAATGTTGCAACTAGGATTTCACATACAGACATTTTATAGCCATGAGATGAATGACCTTTACACTTAAGTTCTCTGAATCCAACTCTGTGACTATAGAATAATGCCTGGAACAGTATGCATCTCATTTTGTAGAAGAGTTACCTGTGTGATATGTACAAGCTAGTTACAGCAGAGTTGTTAATAACTCTGATTAAACCCTAGTATTCTTGAGTAGACACAGCCACAGAAATTGAAGTCAAATGAACTAGAGATTTGTTAGACAACTCATTACTTGACTGACACAACTGCAGGAAGAAAGCATCCCAGAACATTCTATCCTCTTAATATTTCTTACAATGCAACACCTGAGTCCTCCATACTCACACATCAACACTGTAGGACACAAAAATGACAGGGTGACTTTTATTAACTGTGCCACATTTGCATTCTAATATAGAGTTTGTATTTGAATGCTTTCTTCCCTAAAGAAGGGGCTGTTTCAAATTATGATGACTAAACGCAGAATACAGATACTCCCAAAACCACAGTAAGGGAACAAGCTGGGAACTACATTATTTTATCTTCAGAATGGCCAGAAATGTTTCAATCTTCCCTCTTTTGAAGACTTCATAGAGAAATACTATGTGGTTGACTTTACAAAAAAGAAAGAAAAATTAAGAAATAAGAAAAAAAGATAGAAAGGAAGGAAGGAAGAAAGAAAAGAAAGAAAGAAAGAAAGATCCCTAGCCTTTTCTTCTGAATTTTGTAACCATATCACAATGCCTAAGACGAAATAAATTTTTTTCTGGCATTGAAGTTCAAATGTCAAGACAATAAATTTTTTCCATTACAAAATGATGACTGCCTGGAAAATAACTGTCCTATTAGTATAGGATATTTTTAAGCCTTTGGACAGTTCATTTGAATGGCCACAAGAGAGCAGTAACAAATTAAAGCTTGGTCAGTGACTCACAGTCACACTAATGTGGGCTTTTTGCTATTAGGAAAATTTGAAAGCCAGATTGACCGATTTTGCTCATAGACTTGAGGAGAAAGTCCAGGACTCCATTCTTTCATGTTAAAGCTATTTAGTCAAGAAGGGCAATGTTGACACCATCAGTTGATTACCAGAAAGAACCTTGAGTTAGAGCTCCCAAGAAACCCAAGTTCACGCACGAAAATGGAAAAATATTCTCACCTAGAGCACAGGGAAATCTTGAGAAGTTACTAGCCTGTACCTGTGGAATATGCAAGATGTAAAGGTATGTGGAGACCTGGGCATCTTTTAGGGCATGTCAGCAACCAGAAGCATTTTAAAGCTCTAATTCTTCTTGTAGTCTAACTGTTGTATGAAGTGGTATATGAGGAGACTGTAGATACTTCTTAAATCCCCTTCTCTAATTTCTACATATTCTGCCCTCTTTGCTCATAGTAACTTTGCCAGGTGGGACATAGTATCTTGGACACCAAAATTTTAAAACTGAATTTAAAAACAACATGTATTCATAGAGGACTAACCATAGCATTATTATATGAGATACTGTTATGAATCATTTCAAGAAAAGACTAACAACTTATAAAAAATAAAATATAATAAAATTATTCCAAGCTCATCTAAAGCAGAATAACAATTGCTATGCAAGTCGTAATTAATCATGCTTAAACATTAAACAGCAAAATGCAAGTTAAAATGGCAAGTTTTGTTTGAGCAAATAAGCACAGTCTGGAAACAACCATGATGCTTTGTATTAACAGAAAAACGGCATACAACACACAGAGCAGATGTGGAAGCAACCATCCAAAAGACAAGTTAGAAAAATGATGTAGGATAACAAATTATACAATGTGAATTTCCTTTAACTTGGTCATTTTCTCACTGGGAATCAATGCTGTGGAAATGATAGAAAAGTTAAATTTAGAGGATTCAATATAAAAGAGAATAAGAAAACTAAAAACTATGTCTAAAACAAAAATAAGATGGTAAAAAAGATATAGGGCTAAAGTTGGACTTTGATGAAAGACATTGAAAATATTATAAACATATATGTGCTGGCACTGAAAACATGGGATGCATTTTAATTCATAGTAAATTTGAAAACATCCTAAGTGATTCAACATAGAGGAAGAACCTGTGGTTGGTCATATAGGAAAATATCTGCATATAATTTTCAAAGTAGCAATTACTTCTGGGTATGAGCCTTAAAATGATGTGTGTGTGTGTGTGTGTGTGTGTGTGTGTGTGTGTCTGTTTATGTGCTTCATTTTCTTGTAGAAGTTGAGACTTTTGTTTCCTTGCTTGCTTTGGTTTTAAAACAATATGTTACTTTCAATTTCAATAAAAACACACAAAAATATATTTCTATCTTCTAGAAAATCCTCAGAGAATCTTAAAAGTTAGTTTAGCAAATTCAGGAAAAGGTTGAAATTTGATCTCCACATATCAAGTGACAGCAAAACATATTAATGAAATACAGCACATGTACTTTATAGTTTCTTAATATTATGAAAGAAAAATACATATTGAAATTTTTCCAGAGTAACTATGGATGATATCTACAGTCAATCATATAGGCTACTTTTAAAATAAGCTCAAACATACGTTTATACTTTTGAATGTAAAAACTTTTGCTTTCCCAAAAACACAAGCTCTTTCTTACCATTTTACTCACGAACAAGCCAGTGACCTGGCAGTTAACCCATTTAATTATTTTCTAGATGTTTTAACTGACCATATGCTCATTAGTTTTCAGTTCTATAGTTAAGCTGTTACTAATGTAATGAAATACATTTCAAAGGGAACTTTACTTAATGTGGCCTCTGTCTAGTTAAGCATAGCTTCCCTTCTCATAAGTCAGAATGTAGAAAATAATTTCATATTTTGAAAAATTATGCTTTTCAACATAACACATGAACAGTTATTATTTTTAACCAAGTTTGAATTACCTATATATATTTTAAAAAATGAATTATCACATATTTCTTATGAAGCTACTAATATATCCGACTTAAACCAACACTGCAAGATACATATGATTACTTTCAATTTATGATATTAAACTAATCATAGTAAGCACAACCCTTTGTCTATTAGAACTTTAGTGAAGCTGGAAAGAATCCCATGAGTAAGCTCTATTACTCTTACAGGAATTAGTGTTTCCTCAGAAGAGATGTGTTCCTCCAGTTAACCACATATGGGAGTACAGTTTCTTATATTGTGGAACCCTCCTAGACAAGAAAAAAATATTATTTTCTTCCTGATTAAAATGTTAGGGAATAAGAATCAGACCATGATGGTGGAACAAGGCAGGTAGACCAGTAGGCCAGTTTGGAGTCTTCTTCTCTGCTTCTCCCAGATGGAGTGAATAAGTTGAGGTTCTTGTTCATGTGTTTGTGTTCTCTTGTTTCTAGTCTGCGGATCAGATCCAATCTTCTCACTGACTTCCTTAGTTGCCCCAAAGAATTTTATCTTTCTCAGGAAAAAGCAATGGTGTCATGGAGATATGAGACCACACAAGGAAATAAATGCCACTGTTTTATCTATCACAACTGAAAATGTAGTCTTAAGCTGCCAAATAAATTTTACTTGGTAGCCATAGCTGCCTTGGAGACAGGACAGAGAGGTAGCAGTGCTGTCATATTTAGCAAATACATTAGTCATCTTCAGTCCTCCTAATTAAAGGAGTTACTTCTCCTTACAATGGCCTTTGATTTTCTTGATAAAAAGCTTCTTAGAATTTTGAGGATCTCTGATTCTTAATGCAATCTCTGCCCATCTGTCCTTTCTGTTTCCTGAATTTCCCAGCTTTTGTTCTGCATACATTTTTGTACTTTTACTCAATATGATGAAAACTAGAATTACATTTGAATTCCCAGAAACTCTGAAAGGAAGGATAAGAAAGGGATCAGTCATTAAGGATCTTATTTTGTAAACATGAGAACCTGAGTTGATGTCTAGAATCCACCACAGAAGAAAAGTCAGTAAAGCCACATATAGGAAAGCAGAGTCATGTGAATCCCTGGAGACTAACGGCCAACAACTCTCAATCTCCAGTCAGGTGATAGTCCCAATTTCCTGAAAATGTAATTGACAGCTCCTGAGGAAAGATATCAGAGTGTGTCCTGTTGCCACTACATGGACCTGGATACAAATATATGTATCCATGTACACAAACACATACACAGCCAGAGAAGCTATTGGAAGTAGAGAGCTGTTGGAAGCTATTGGAAGTGAAGGGCTGTTGGGACAAAGGAAGTCTTTGTCTCAGTGATATACTTCCTGATAAGTTACACATCTTCCTGTAGAAAGCTCCACACCAATGCCCATGCTGGCTAGGAGAGAGGGAGGGAAAGAAGAATGGAGGGACGGAGGGACAGAGTTACGGAGGGAGGCCTAAGGGAAACTAAAATGAGCACACACATGGAAACAGCCAGTAGGCAGGAACGTGAAGATGCAAAAGAGAAGGAGAGAAGGGTGTGAGTGGGATAAGAGTTGGAAATAAGAAGAACTTCCTTCCGTTGCAGTATACACTTAGCATTAACTCTGCCTTTTAAAGGAAGTCTATGAACATGTCCTTAAAGCTATTCTTTGAAGCAACCATGGAAGAGACTTCTGGAAAAATACCAGGATTGTTTCGATCTCTTTGTTTGAACATCCCTCATCTTCAAAGGAAACATGGTTTGTTTTTATAATTTTTATTTAAATTAAAAACAATCTTTTTTACATACCATTCTCAGTTCCTTCCTTGTCTCTCCTGTCCTTCCATGCTCCTCACCCCCCCATCACGCTCACCCTCATCCACTCCTGAGGGAGGGTGAGGCCTCTCATAGAAACATGTTTGCTACATGGAAACAAGTGTCATTACTAACTCTTCCCTCTGTAAGTTAAGAAACCTGTCCTTTTTTTCTTTTAGTGGAGTTACTAATAATGTAAGCATGAGACTTGTAGTACATTGATAATAAAATATCAAATGACTTATTGTGTCAACACTGATTAAACACCTATCATATTTTAAAGTTCTCTGGCTAGGCTACAAAATAGATTAAATAAATTCAGGTATCTGTCAATAATAAAGGCAGTTATGAGAATAAGTGAATGAAGACGACAGAGCCCTGAGTTAGTTGTGATCGATGGAGGTTCTGTTCACAGACTTTTTTTGGTCACAAGGTTTGGTTTCTTTTCTTTTTTCTTTTTTCTTTTTCTTTTTTTTTTGTTTTGTTTTTTTTTTTGTTGTTGTTGTTGTTTTGGTTTTTCGAGACAGGGTTTCTCTGTGTAGCTTTGTAGCCTGCCCTGGCTATGCATGACCAAACTGGCCTCAAACTCACAGAGATCTGCCTGCCTCTGCCTCCCGAGTGATGGGATTAAAGGCATGTGCCACCAACGCCAGGCAATTGTTTGGTTTCTAATCTGCCTGCTGGGTGGCTATGCCATACAAGCTATGGCTCACAAAATTCTTGTATTGGGAAGAGTATAACCTTGTATAGAAATATAAAAATAAGCTGGTGACAGACCCAGGCAATGTCAGGAACCATAAACATCATGAAGAACAAAAATGAAGTAGTAACGAATTCCAAAGGGTTTCTTTAAGTACTGAGAAGTGTTTTCTGAGATGATACAATGGACCAGCTTGAACTCAAAGGACAAGTGAGAAGTAGTTAATGTGATGAGGCATGAGACAAGTATTTCAGGAAGAGGTAAAAAGTCAGCTCAAAATTTTCCAGACTGGTCCAGGAAGAAGGCATTCTGCATAGAATTCAATATGAAACAGGAAGAGTAATGAGGATTAACTTGAGTCAAAATGGCACAGACCAGGTCATGTCAGGCTTTTTTAACATCTTGGAAAGGAGCCTTTCAGAGTGTCATGAGTAGCATCTGGGGATTCTAGCAGGAGCCAGAATCAGGGCTAGAATGAGCTCTATCCATTTTCAGGCACCTTTAAGGTTTGTATGTGGATAAATAATTAAGGGATAACACAGGAGGGTAGGATTACTGTTGGAAACTGTATTGTAAGTAGGTTGTAGAAAGATCAGATTTATCCCATGATATCAGGCAGGATGGAGACTTTCTGGGTTGTGTGGAGTTCTCTTCTGTAGTGTCCAGTATATTGTTTTTCAAACTTAACTTGCTGGTGAGAAATCAAAAACCTGAAACAGAGAAGTCACAGCCCTACATTAGAAAAGCACTTTCTTCAGTTCTACTCACCCTGATTTTTCCTAACTTAAGAGCAACTTACAGGACTGTCAATCTTCCCTGCCACTGCCACTGCAGGTAAAAGGGGGGGGGTCTCTGGTTTATTAACATGGGAAATGGAAGGTGTAGTGCTTATAGACACAGGTATTATGCCTGGATTTTAGTAATGTAATGTAATGTAATCAGAACCACATTGCTTTGTAACAGGAAATCTGGGATGCTAAGAACTGTGAGGTGGAGATTTACCAAGTGACCTAATCATGCAAAGAAGACATCAAACCTCAGTAACAGATATTTTTACTCTTCAGACTGCAGAGTAGACACTGGGTTCCTGCCCAGTACAGATCACAAAGCACACAATTACCCTGGCTCCATGTTTCAGCAAAGAGTTTTCCTTCAATGTGCCAGATATTGTTAGGAACACAAAGATCCCTGTTCATAAACACTAGGTTTTATACAGATCCAAAGGCACATGTTTATTTGTGTGGTCAACGGCCTGCATACTTTAAGAATCATGTAAATAATAAAGTTAAACTACTTTATTTGGTATGAGTGGAATTGATGGGCCAATAATCAGACGCGTTTGTGGGCGCATGCATCTGAACATGTGCTATTGATGAGAAACTGAACTCTGCATGTGAAAGGATTCGTGAAGCCTACTTCACATCTTTCCTTAGCTGAGTGGAGGATAGAATGACAGACTGTCTTCTAAAGGTGACAGTTACTTCTCAGCAATGCTTCTCAGTGAAGACAAGGCAGAGGTTACATTCAGTAAGATCTGGAGTGGGAAATATCTTAACAGTAAACGTTGTCAGAACATTTGATGATTCCTTAGGTCCTACCATGGGTCAAAAGTCAGTAGGTGAAAATGAAGAAAACTTCCCTCCCATGTGAGTCTTATGAAGAAAGGGACTAAACTAAAAGGATGGAAGGATGAAAACAACAAACAACAAGCAAAATCAGCTTCACTGTCACTGAGCCCACGGTAAGCAGACACAGCAGTATGCACAGCCTTCCTCGAAAGGCCTCACAATCAACTGGGAGTCCATTTCAATTGAATGTAGTGATTTATTTCCAATTCAGTGTGTCCTGGCTTTCTTGTCCACAGTAACCAAAAGCCCAAAGTCAGAACACTGCTCATGGCAGAGAGCTGAGCCCAGGCTAAAGATGTTGCCAAAATTATCAACCAGTGTTTTCAAAGTTCTAAACAAAATCAACACTCTTCATGTTTTCTATGCTTTTGGCAAAAGAAAGTTAATAACTGCCCAAGATAGGGTCTGTTCCTTTGCTGGTTTCTGACTTTTAAAACCATTAAGACATAATTTTATATGTCTATTTTTCTAGAATTAAGCCAAAGATAGGTTAAAATGGCATACAAAAAAACTCAAAACTTTCTGATTTTTGCAAATCATGGCGGGACACTCACTGAATTTTGCATCTACCTGTGTGCAGTGCTGGGCGCCTCCAGCCCATCGTGTCTCAGAGCCTTGAATGAAACCCCAGAGGAGAATGCAGCATTAGTTTTGCTGGAAGTGACATATTGTTCAGGAGCTTAGTCTGTAACTCTAACTTCAGGGAATTTTTGATGTCTCTTCTGTCCTCCCAGGCACCTGCACTCACAGGCATTTACCCACACAGATATACACATACACAATTGTTTTGGAAAGCTTTTTCATGGACTGACCACGGCTTAACTCTTTTTGTTTGAGAGAGAATGGAAGAAAATTTGTTTAATAAAATGCACTGATAAAATTTGTTCTCTCTCCAACCCATATACTGATAGAAATTTATTCTAACCATAAAAATCTTGACCTAATAGGAAGATGTTGCACATAATGGGAAAGGGAACTTTTGTTTTACTGGGTTCATCCAGAGTGTAGCATGTGATCTAGTATCTGCTGGACATGAAAGTGAGTTTTATCAATAAAATTCAGATAGAAGTCACAGAAATGAATAATTAAGGGTTGGTTACAGAAAATACCATTCTACACAATTTCGAGTTATATAGTTGATATTAATAAAATATAGACTAAGAGTTTTCCTGTAAGTGATTTTGTTACTAAGATGATACTCATGATTCATTCATGATTTATCTGTCATCATTGTTTGTACATTTTAAAATGTACTGTAGATTAAATAAAAGAAGCTTGTCTTAACCCTAATTAGAAATAATTGCTACCTAGCCTGCATTATCATTCAATAATCTAAAATATTTTAGGTTTCCTACTATTTAAAAATATCTTTAGCATGTACTCTTTTTACTTTCATGCTTGGATAAACAGATTGATTTACAGATTTGGAAATTTACACAAAACTTTGTGAAATAAGAATCTTTTTTCTTAAAGTCCAAAAACAGTTATTTATCTAATTAAGTGCAGAATTATTTACTATGGGTCAGAATAAGTTAACTTAAGTAACCTTAAAAATTTAGTGTAGAATTACATTTAAGAATACTTTACTTAAACTAGGCAATGGTGGTGGTTCATGCCTTTAATCCCACACTCTGGGGGCTAGGGAGCGGGGAGGAGACAGGGTGGGTCTCAGTTTGAAGCCAAGTTGGTCTACAGAGTGAGTTCCAAGATGATACATAGAGAAACCCTGTCTCAGAAAAAAATATATTACTTAGTTTAAGGTATTGTTAAATTATTTAAAAGAACATTTAGTTTAGTGTTACTATCTTTGCAAGTAGAAAGGGAATTCAGTTTTAATGCCTAAATCCAGTGTTGAAGTAAGTAGTATCTTTATATAATTTCACTGTGGCTAGAGGTGAGGGTCATTCTTTTCATGAAAAGGTGCCAGTGTAAAGTCGAATGAAATTCAAGTACTCGTTCAGTTGTTTATTTCCAAAGTGGTTTGAGAACAGCTTCTCTCACATGAGCATTTTCTGAACAGAGCTTTTGTTACTTCCATTTTCAGTTCTGCACTTGCAGTGTAGATGCTCTGAGCTATAGGTAACTCACTTGTGCACCATCGTCCAGTTCAAGGATGCTGCACAGCCTTCCTGGACTATAACAGGGTTCACATTTATTACCGATAATTCCTAAGAACTATTTTCCTGACCCTACATCTAGATGTATGCCATTTGTGAAATTAATATGGGCTGGGGGTGAGTTGATAACCTGTTTTTTGTTGTTCTTTGTTTGTGCATTAGTGAATCTCTGCCTAAGATTCCTTATTTATTTTTAAAACCACAAAATGACCACCTCAAAACCCCATCATTTCTTTCAGCTGTTTTGTGCAACTAAATTGCAACAATGAACATCATCTTTAAAAGCATATAGTATGGTCTATTAGATTCTCCCACTGGGGCACTGTTTCTCACTACCCAGCCACACACACCTTCTGCAACATTTAGAAAGCATCTTTATATTTGTGGTGGTATATGCTTTAAGTCGTCTCAATTTTCTTTACCAAACCAATATACATATACAAATGTTGCATTGTCATTGCACACAATGGTCAGAACTGACCTCAACAATGGGATTGTTGTTGCAGTGGCTCCATTTGAAAAGTCTTTTTTTTTTCTCAGCAGCTGCTTCTGACTTCAGTGTGGAAATGCTATTTCCAAGCACATCCATGAATTATGTAGAGCTCCTGGCTAAAGATTCTTTTGCTCCTGCTTTTCAAAACACTGATTTTAAAACATTGTCCTTAGGAAAAGAAAGCATATTATGCCCATGTATCTACATAAATAGAGTTCTCCAGAAACGCCTCAATCTCACAGGGTGTTTCATTAAAGATGGCATTGCTCAATGAAGGCTGGAAGTTGGATGGGGTTTTGCTGTATTCTCTCTCTCTCTCTCTCTCTCTCTCTCTCTCTCTCTCTCTCTCTCTCTCTCTGTCTGTGTGTGTGTCTCCCTCTCCCTCTCTCTCTCCCTCCGTCTCTCTCTCCCTCTCTCTCTCTCTCTCTCTCTCTCTCTCTCTCTCTCTGTGTATGTGTGTGTTTGTGTGTGTGTGTGTGTTTCAGTGTTGAAAATTAGGTAAAAAATCAGAACTTTACACAAGCAAGGAAAGCACTCTATCACAGAGCAATGGTATCCCCAAGCTCCATTAGTGGTTTATTAAAACAAACTACTGTAAAATTGAAACAGTAAAGAATAATTTTGGCCTTGTTGGAATTATATATAGAATGAAAACAAAGTCTTCAGATTGTTTCTAAGCAAGAATCATAGGGGTGAATCGGCTCTCCAAAATGTTGTCAACTCCACTGTTCAAACAGTTAAGTGTTATTATAGAGTCACGTTCAGGACAGCTCAGCTCATCGTTCTGCTTACAAAGATCGTCTTCATTGAATTTATAGAAAGATATTCATTACTTATTCTGCAAAGAAAGGGGTGTTAAAAAGTCACTAACAATTCAAGGCAAAATAAATAATTTAATCAACTATCAACTATTTCCAGTAAGACTGCTCCCACAGATTCTCCTCTGCAGACATGTTCTTTCAGGACTGGGGAAGGAGGCGTCACCTGGGTGGAATGACACAAAGGAAGCACGATAGGCTTCAGCTTGCTTTTTTCATCTTTTCATGCTTGCTTTTCTGCCCTTTCTTGCTTCTATTCCCGTGAGGTGCTTTGTGTTCCCCTGAAATTTTGACATTTGCACAGTTCGGATCAAAGGAAGCCTCTAGGAATAATCTGGTTTTACTATTGGACTCGCTGCAGATAATTCATGCCCTGTAGACACAGCCCACTTTTCAAAATAAAATCTGACAATGTTTAGTTGTGAGTTTCAGTTGCACATTCCCAAACAGCAAGGCACTGTGATGGAGTTTTATAGTGTCTAGGGGGAAAACGCATAAGATAACCCTTTCTCCACCAGGTTTCTTACGTTAAAAAGGCGAGTTTCTAAAAGTAAACTTGGCGTTGTGAAAGAGTCATCAAACACAAACTCGTGGCTCCTGGGTGCAAGCTGCCTCCATTAAGACAAATGCTTAATAATTTGTTTCTATTCTAAACATTTAATCAGTTTACTGTACTTGAAGAATTAAATCTTTCTCTTCTGATTGTTCTTTCATTCCTTAGTGAACACTAACTGGGAGAAGATCTGAGAGAAGGCAGAATTATTACCTAAGAGAGTCGATTCAGTCATCATCTTGAAGCATTGAAATAAAATGTAAGCTCATGTGTTTGCAGATTATGTTTAAGAAAGCCCACTTTAAAATGTATCTCTTATGATTTAGCTACAATGATTGCCTCACTATATATTAATAAACTATACAATCTTTCTTAATAATTAAAGGTAACAATCTGTAGTACTACAAAACACTTTACTGCCTTGTAAAAATAGAACACACAAATCACATTTTAACTTGTCACTATCAATATTTTAGTATGAGTTTCAATTTTTTGTTTGTTTGTTTGTTTAGGGTTTTCTAGACAGGGTTTCACGGTGTAGACATTGCTGTCCTGGAACTCACTTTATATACCAGGCTGCCCTTAATTGAGTTTAAATTTTTATATCTTAACAAGTTTTAAGAAATTCTGTGTAATATCTTGAAAATGAAGTTTTGAAAGCATTCGGACTTTTTACAAATGGTTTTAAAAATAACACTAGAAATGTTCTTTTGAATTTTTTGTTTATGCTTACATGTGTCTATGTGTGCATGTGTATGTGATGTATGTATAGATGCTCAGAAGGTCCTGCCAGGCAGAAGGTACCCTGGAGCTGGATCTACAGGCAGCTATGAGCTGGAAACCGAACTCAGGTCCTCTGGAAGAGCTGCAAGCTCCTTTACCCACAAAGCCACCTCTGCAGTCCCCTTAACCACGGCCGTCCTCATTCAATCCTATCACTAACATTCAAATCATTTAAAGTTCAGAGTGTTAAACTAAAAATGTAGCGATTAGGCATTTAAGTGTTAAATTATTACTCAAAAATCTATTCATTTGTCATCTCTTTCCATCACAGAATGATATAGTGTAATAATAATCTTAGAGAACAATATAGAAAGTCCTTTATTATTATTATTATTACTATTATTATTATCATTATTATTATATTGGTTCTTGTTCCCAGATGAGCAAAACAGGAAGTAAAATTTGTTTTTCTGAACTAATTTGAAATCTTTCTTCAAGGGCTGGCTGACCCATATGTTTTGTGTGTTTGAATTTTATCTGTGTGTTCATTTGGTATGTTTGGTGTTGGGGAGAGGATATGGTAGTGACTTCCTACAATTTAAAATCATTTTTAAATGTACTTATTCTAAAATTGCCAACGATAAAATAAAAAATAACAGGCAAATATATATCAGCAAAATTTAGAACCTTATGTGATCTTTGGAACAAAACACTATTTCCCCCAAAGTGGTTTTACAAATAAGACAGAACACATGTTGAGTAAAACACAGCTTCCACAAAGATAGCATTATCATACAGGCAATGGTTATTCAATGGGTATTATTCATATCCTTTTCTACTTAACTGCAAATATTTTCTAATGCCAAATAATAGTTCATTTATTTAGACTTAATCTTTTAAACATTTTATGTACATTTAGCAAAGAAATTGTTTATATGATATTCTATGACTCATGACTAACACTGTATGCTTTTGTTTTTTAAAGGAAAAAAACAGTTCTGTGCACCATTGGTCTGTATTTATAGAGCATTTTTATTGTGAAGTTTGCATGTAGAGCTTCAGGAATGCTGGAGAACAATACTGAGCAGTGTGGAGCAGTATTGTTAGTGGAGTCTTTTCTATTGAATTTTTAAGATGCTGTAAAATGAGATATGTGAGCAGCTCCTCTGGACACCTTTTCCCATCATTGTGTTAATATCAATCGCTCACTTCCACCATTTCTCTTGGTATTAAATAGAAACTCTGGTTCCCACTGCCTTGATTGGAGGGCTTATAAAGTCTAGCAGGGTTGATAACCCTAATGAGATTAAGCATTGTGATTTTATGATGGCTAACCCAAACCTGCAGCCTCTAAGACTGTCTCTAAGACAAACCTGCAAAGGTACAGGAAGGTGCCTTACACCCTTTTCTTCTTTTGGCTCAGAGCTTCTCTCCCTAGTAAGGGCCGCCTTGGAGACTCGGTGAGAAAATGATGAGTGACTTCATGCTAGTGCGGTGGCGCAGACTCTTGCCCTGGCAGAACTAACTTTTGCCAGATGGCAAAGCTAATGCTTTTCTGTACAAAGCATGGCTCATGATCACTTACCACATGCACTGATTGCCAGGACTGGCCGGATCTGCTGGGAACTGGCAGGGCTCAGTGTGGGTGGAAAGGGAGATCTGTAGAAACGGGTGTTTTATGTCAGGTTCTTCTGCTGGAGTTATCTAGAGCTGCTTGAAAAAAACTTCAGTTCTGCTCCTTCATTTCCCACAAAAAGAAACTCAAGTGCTAAAAATCATTAGCGCTCCTGTTTAAGAGTCATGGGAATCAGATATTAAACTCTCCCTTCATTTGTATATGAGGGTGCTGGAGCAGTTCTTGGCCAGAAGAGCTATGACTCATCACTGGGAGTTCTAATGTCTTGCTACATTCTTATCCTCACTAGTCGTTGACAGTTACCTATCACCAGATGAGCAGAAATGGCACGTTCTGTTCTCTATACTCCCTATAGTAATCCTAGACAAACGGCAGGGGCAGAGCATCCCTGGCAAATGTCCTCTCAGCACAGAGAAGCACCTATAAACTAATTATCTCCCAGAACCGTTCATCTTGCATTTACTGCCCTTGCTTCTATTAATCTACCAGCAACCTAGATAAGCCAGTCTTCTCATTGACTCAGAAACTCAGCCTCCTCCCCACTCCATGTACTGCTGCACTTTCCTGCTCTGCCATCCAACACTTAACATTGAATTTTAATATAAAACTAATATCTTGTAGCCAAGCTATTATAAACACATAAAAACTAAGTTACAAGTAGCTGGAGGTAATCTAGTGTCATTACACATATTACTGTGTATTTTCACTTCACTGGGTGATAATATTTAATTTCAAAGAAAATGTCATATGTTATTTTTTCTAAGAAACTGTTTATTCTGTAACATATAAAAACATACTTTCGAGAACTTCCTAGAAAGGGCTTTAGCTGCAGCAGAGTTACCATGGATAACAGGCAGGCTTATGGAGTTTTGAGCTTGTCAACTCATACTTGAAGTGTGGCATTTAATCCACATATATTTATTTTAGAAGAACAGCCAAATCTTAAAAGAGTCAGATGAGTGTGACAGAACAGATGGGATGTCTGAAAAATGCAAGTAATATTTAATATAGCATTGTGTGGACAAGACATGACTTGAAAAGCACCATCTTCTGCCATTACGTGACAGGAGGTACAGTAGAATTAGGATCATTCAGCGTGGTTCTGAAGGTCCAATCACACATAGTTTCACAAAGTTCTGTTCAGTGTGTTTCAGAAAACTGTATTCACCAGATTGTTTAAATGAAGTGTCTTTGTAAGAGTATCTGAGGCAGACACTAAGTAGGTCCTCTGAGCACCAGTCTCACTCAGTCTCATTTGAGAAGAAGGAGGATCAGAAAGAAAAGCTTTATTCTGTGACCAAAGAATGCAGTAGAGCAAGCATGGCTCCCAGATCAGCTTTTTGTCTAGTGTAGAATCTAAGACAGTCTGTATCAAAGAAACACAAAAGAAACCTGTAGAACTCAACTGCACTTAGTGGACACAATGTAAAGCAAACTGCAGCCCTACATCTCCTCTCCCCACCTCCTTTCTTCCCAGGAAAGGGGCTCCCTACATCTCCCCACCTCCTTTCTCCCTCCTTATCACGACATCTGCTACCTACAAATCTTTAAAGAAGGCATTGGTCCTTGGGATTTCAGGTGTCTGTGCTTGCAGGTGTCTCACCGGTGTCTCAACTTGTATGAAGCTCTAGCATGCATAACAGCAGTTCTGCTATCCAACTCTGTAATTCCTTAGTAATCCAAGGTCCAACAGCATCTCTTTCTATTGATTGCTCTTATTTTCTGAGCTCAGTGTTAGCTCTAATGAATACCAATACTCTGAGAGCTCTCAGACAACCCTGGGGTAAGAAGCCGATTATTTCAGGAGTCCTGGAGATGTCCACAATGGACTCTACAGGGTAAGAGCTGGCGACTTCCTTCTAGGAACAGACCAGGATGGAATCACCACACTTCCACAGTTTTGTGAAAATATGGCATAAGAAGCCATAAGAAGATGATGTACAAATTCCTTTATATTCAAATCCCAAAGACTTCAATAAACAGGTTGGAATTCTCACCAGTTCTGCGATAACACAAAGCAGGTGGCTGCTGACACCACATCTCATCCAGCTGAGGGCTTTCTAACATGATGTATGTATCCTCCATTGCTCCCAGTTGCATTAACCCAAGTGCAGAAGTGACTCTTGACTCCACCCTTCCCTTTATAGTCCAAAGTCAACTCTTCAGTGGGTTCTTGGATACTGTCTTTTAGACACCCTGTTGCTCAGACTCCCTTATCTCAACAAATACCATAGTAGCCTCAGCTCATCCTGGCTGCTCACAAGAATTCCAGTAGGCTCCTAAACTATCCCTGGTCCTTCTCACTGAAGTCAGAAAGCGTATGCAACTTCTCCAGTCACTTCTGATCCTATCCCCTCTTTTATGGAGGAATACTTAATTATTTCCAAGTTTAAAGTCAGGTCCATATAACTTGAATCTTTCCAGTCTCTAGATTTGAAATCTCTGTTTCTTGTTGTTATCAGGGTCATTGCCTCACCCTTGACTCTCAGAACTAAACTATACTAAGTTTTTCATGTATTTGAGAATTTTGAAGGTCACCAAGGATACTTTGCTCTGCTGTCCTCCAGCTGGAGAACCGCAATTCACCCTTCATTCTTCAGGTTCAACTGTATTTCCTTCACAGGTCAGCTCTCTTGACTGACTGCTCCAGAAACACCTTTGGTGCTTTTTTTTTTAACAGTCAACAGTTGAATTTACTAGTCCAGTGTCATCAAATAATTCCAACAGATTTTGGAGATTAGTGGGGAAATTTTACTGGAAAGTTTAATTAAGGAAATTAATGCTTGATATAAAAATATATCTCCACAAATATTTATAGAGAGAATGAATTAATGGTTTAAAAAGTCAAATACCAGGCATACTGAAAATATGTAATCAGATTTCCCTAGAGCTTGAGAAATGATGAAAACCTCATGTTTCTTGAATCTCAAATCATGGTTAAGGAAAGTAAGACACTGTGTGTGTGTGTGTGTGTGTGTGTGTGTGTGTGTGTGTGTGTGTATGAGGGAGGGCAGAGGACAACATTAGGTGCTGTTCCTTAGGCACAATACACTATACACCAAATTTTTGAGAGAGGGAGCATTTCTTACTGGCCTGAATCTTGCCAAGTAAGCTAAGTTGTCTGGACATATAGTCCCACTGACCTGTCTGTCTGCCTTCATTTGTATAGAAACAGTTACAATCAGGCCACTGTGCCCAGCATTTTCACATTAGTTCTGAGGGTCAAACTCAGGTCCTCATGCTTGCAAGAAAAGTTTTTTACTGACTGACATTTCTCCTCAGTTCAGTAAGACATCTTTTAACAGCCTCTGAAATTAAGAATGTATTTTATATTATTTATCTGTAGAAAGAAAAATCAACAACATTCTAACAAGATAGTTGTAAGAGAAGCCAAGTGTTCCTGAACTGTAGACATGAGTATCTTTAATTTTTTAAAGAAACATGATGGCTCACACTTGTAGTTCTAGTACTTAGGTTGCAAAAAAGAGTCTGTCTCATGTATAGAAAAAAATATATCAAGGGTTCAATACATCTGGGAAAAGTTCTAGATATTTCAGAAAAAAAGTGAAAACTAGAAATGAATCAGTCTGTCATGAAGATTATAGTCTAATAGCACAAATATGGGAAAATTGAATATACCAAGTTCTGAGGACTCATAACTATTTCTGAACATGACCTAGCAAATACTAGATGTTAAATAATGACGAGGATATGTGGCTTTGAATTAAAGCTGAAGCAGACATTAATGTCACCACTGTGAATATGCCTCTACAGATACTTAGAGAATATCTGTACAGAGATGATGTATACTTTCCAAACAGCAGAATTGACTATGTATCATACATCAAATGTTTACAAATAGTAAGTTTTTCTTAGTAATTTTGCCTCTCTCCATTTCCTCTTACATTCAGTATTCAGTGAACAGCCAGGATAAAGCTGAATGTCAGAGAGGTCATGGTGAGAACAAACTGGGGCTGAGGGAACAGCCCCATGGTACGGTGGCACGGTATTTGCCAAACAGTGTGCTCAACTCTGGGTTCAGTCTTGAGATCAGATAAGTCATGAGAATCTTGTTGCCAAGTGTTGAAAGAAATGCCGTTATCCATATCCCTTTTAGTCCTTTTGTTTAACTGTAAGGGATTCTATGCTGGTGTACTACCAAACAATGGATTCTACAAGAGCAAAGTTCACAGCACAATAGGTATTCCAAAGTGGATGTCAATGCAGAAGGAAATAAGACCACTTAGGAAACAGAATGCTTGCCTTGTCTTAATATCAAGGCTAAATTTAACTCACAGAAGATATAAAGTCTTCTGTAGATTCTTGCTTATTAGTAAACCAGAATCCACAAACACCTTTAACAAAGACTTATCAGTGCAATATCTCGTAATACTATGAATCTACAGATAATAAGTTTACCAATTTATTTCACAAATACTTTTAGGGTCTATTCTGTATGTCAGACACAGTTCCAGGCATGCAGGTAAATTTTAGAATTAGAAAAAAATGACAGTACATAAAGTATAGTACACTACAGAAAATAAAAATAAAGCAGTTTAATAAATACATGTCTATTGTAATGCCCTGATAAGGTGTGTTAGGAATGATGGCATAGCAGTACCAGAAAAAAAAGGTCTTAAGATGGTGTGGGAAGGCATGGCTTTTCTCCTAAGGTGACATCTGTGTGAACAGAGAGGCATTTGGAGAGGTAGCTGCAGCTCATCACAAAAGTGCTAGGGTCAGGTTAAATTTATGGCTTAGAAAATAATAAAAGGAGGAGCTGAAATTACAGAAATTCTGGAAATGGATGGATGAATGGAGTCATAGATCTATAAGTCAATCTATAAAAGCTAGATCATAGATATTTGATAGAAAATAGGAAGGTTTACATGACAGATGAAAGGCAGATAGAATAGATAGATGATAGATAGATAGATAGATAGATAGATAGATAGATAGATAGATGGAATCCCACATACTTTTCTACTTAGTTCATGCTAGATGGTATACTGCAAATGTCCTGTTCCCTTGACTTAATTTTGTACAACTTGAGAGATGGAGCTCCTCTTGAATTAACAGATGTCACTAATGAAATTACATAGAAGTTCAGTTTGATTTTTCTTCCTGTGTCCCTGATCTACTTAGTGTCAATTTTGTGACTACCAACTAGCACTAGGATTAGTCCAGACATACAGACTCACACAGATAGATTGTTAACCATCAGTTGTTAATAAAGACCACATTAAGGTTGCTTCAAAAGAATGTGTCCAGTCATGACTTGTAGCAGTGTTAAGGCTGTGGACATTTTCATTGGTAGTAAAAACTCAAATGCTGTGTTGAAGTGGGCATCACTAAAATGGACAGTGAAACTTCTTCCTGGCATGCATGCCTCCAGTAATTCCTTTCCATGTTGAATCCATGTTCTAAGTACTTAACAGAATACTGCCAAAGTAAAACTGAGCTATTTCTGAGACTATAGTATTGACACACTGAAATTCCCACGTTGGAATCTTTGGTTACTTTGTCTTCCAGAGTCCTACTACCATATCAAGAGGATGCTCAAGCAACGCTTAAAGTAAGACTCTGAGTTCTAACTTAACACATAGCAAAACTTTGAAACATCCCTTCATTGGTCAAACATTCTAAGAGAACGTCTAGAAGACATGTGACCAGCCAGTGACATACACTGAGGCAGAAGCTCAGCGTGCTATGAGAGATAACAGGTGTATATTAACATTTTTCAGACACTAAAATGAGAAGGTGACTGGTTACACAGCACTATTATGTATAGGCAAATACTGAAGAAAGACTATCAAGGTTACCATATTGAACTCTTGGTATGGTGCACACAACTATAACCCTAGCACTTAGGAGACTGAGAGTGAAGATAATAAGATCAAACTTTAAATGCCAACCTTGACTATTTAGTAAGTTAAAGGGCAGCTGGATTTATCTACTGAGACATTCTATAAAACAAACAAAAACAAGTACAATCAAACTTTATGGCCAAAGATTAGGCATTAGATGCTTTAAAAGGAAGAAAGGAAAAGGTTTGTTTGTTTAATAATTACTTACCACTTGAAGAGTAAGTGTGATAATAAGTTAACCAGTTTGACAACTCTAAAAAAATTAGAGCTTCTATAGCCTGAGGGCAGAAAAAGCTATGGCCCAGTCCCTAGAGTTGACCATGAGACTCAAATCTTCAAAAGCAGGTGTCACCGTGGCAGCTGTGTAACACCAGGATTTGGACTGAGAATAGCAGAACCAATGCATTGCAACACTGTGAATCTCCCTGCCACTTTCTGAACTCTGTGTCTTTACAGGTGACCCTCCCCCTATTCAAAGTCAATTATAGCTCTTTGTCTGAATGTGATGTGGGAGTAAAGAAACATCCTTCCTCACTGTCTCAAAGATACTTCCAAACCAGGAACTGAATTAAGTCTCCACACACCCAGTCTGGGAAGGGCGAATCTGATAAGGAAAGGAAGTACTCTACATTTTAAAGGAATGATGACATCCATAATTCTGAACCAATAGATACTAGCATCATGTACACAAGACATGAATGCCGAGATTGCTAAACCAGAGAGGCTGAACTAAAAGGTTGAAAAGAAAGAGTTAAAGAAAGACCAGCATTGCGCAGGATTTAATTATCCAACAAAGAACCTCAGAGGGCAGAATTGCCACATTTTAAGATGGCCTCTAGAAGTTTTCTAGAAGCTTGGCCCTTGAGAAATGAAATAGATTCACCTGGATATTCTGAAAGGAAAGGAAAAATATTTTTTAAGATACTAAAAGAAAAGAAACCATGCATTTATTTTGGAAGGCTGGAGAGTTCATAGGCACATCTGCAGGAAGTCAAAAGTTTTCCAAGATGCTAGTAAGTATGCTGTTCAGAAGAGTTAGGACCCCTGAGGAGCTCAGAGATGTCTGAGTGGAGGCAAGGTCACATGACAGAGGTGTTTTTGCAGACCTTTGATTGACGATGGAGAGAGAGAAACTGAAATAACAGAGGGAGATGGGAACAATTATTGCAAACCACTGACTTGTGGGAGTCATGGCAGAAGGGACTTCTAGTTATTTTTGATATGTTCATTTTTTCAGCTTTTTCCAAGTGAATGCTAGAGGTCCTGGTTTGAAAATCAAGTAAGGAATGGACTGTAGAGTATGACTGCAAACTGTTACAAACCTAACTGGGAGGAACCTCAAATGTACTGGTAAGCTCAGCGATGGTATTTTCATTAGAGCAGATTAATAAACGCTTAAATGTATATATGTATGGGCCTTAAGATACAGCATAGTTCATGTATTTTTCAGCTGGATAAAAACATGTATGTATAATCTTCATGTCATGTTAACTTCCTTCTCCCCATCATAATACAATACAAAGTGTTTGAACCATATAGACAACTCGCAGAATACTCAGAAACTGTTCTGGTTTATGTATTAATAATAACATGGTAGTTAAACCAAGAAGTGATAAGGGTGTTGGGAATTTTGGACACACACACACACACACACACACACGGGTGCACACATTACACATTTCTAAAGTTTGGAGACAGATCTAACAAAAATCCAGAAACCTCCTATACAACTCAAAATCTTTGAATATAGTGTGTTCTGGCTGTGTAAGAACTTCACATTCAACATGAAGAAAGAATCATGAATCATTGTATTACACACCTCCATTGCTAAGAAGGAATCAATATGTTTCTAACAGGTCTCTCTAGATTTAAAGGAGAGCATATTCTGCAAGTGGAAGTTAAGTTTTCTGCTTATGGAGCCAAACAGAAGCAGATCCCACCATATGAGAATATCTGTGAAACTCCAAAACCCCAGTGCCCTATCGGAGGCACCAGTAGAAGTATCAAAGCATGGGCCATTAGGGTTCTAGAGCAAAGTCATATCATTTGAAAATGAGACTTACAGAAATCTTGGACACAAGTTTCTGAATTGCCTAGCAGAGAATATGGTCAATATCAGGAACCTGATGATATTGAGGGTCTATATAGCCACAACTACCTATCTATTATAAAATAGATCATTCCAGGTGCAAGTCATATGTCTAGATGAATCCCAATAGTAATCCATCCTAAAATATAAGAATTAACTATGGAATTGTGATGAGCAGGGCTATGAGACACAAAATACTAAACTAAATGCTAATTAGTTGCCCATACCCTCCCATGGTATTGCATAGCACTTCTTTGTCAGGTTGTACTCATGACCAAATGTAAGAGGAAACAATTACACAGGAAATAGGAAGGTGTTAGGCTACATATATAGGTGGGTTGGCCTGAGCTATACATGCCTACTACATGACAGAATCACTCATCGATAATTCTGAAAGATAGTGGTGTTGGGAAATGTTCCTAACTGGGAGAACTTTGGGCAGTGGCAGTGGTAATAGTATGAGCCCAGAAAGTTCCCACAGAATCTTTGTGTCTGAACACAGGACCCAGCAGGTTGACCTGTGTGGGGAGGTGGTTCCTTTCTGGTAATGGTTGGAACTAAGGTTGGTCCTTTGCAGGTGAAAGCCTGGCCCAGCTTCTGATCCTAACCTCTGCTTGCTGATCCAGCCAGTGTAAGAAATTCTGCTGCTTATTCCTGTCACCAACAGGCACCTTTGCCATGTCTGCTCAGCCATATCTACTCTGCCATGTCTGCTCTGAAGCTTCCCTGAAACTGTAAGAGAAAACAAATACTTCCTTTGTTTTTTGTTCATTTATTTTACATACCTAGCAGCTTTGCATCCCCCCTCACCTCATGTTCCTTCCCCCCAACTCCCATCTACCCACCTCCTCATCCACTCTGCCTCCATCTTCATTCAGAAAGGGACAGGCCTCCCATGGGCTTGAACAAAGCATAGCACATCAAGTTGAGGTAGGACTGAACTCCTTCCCCTGCATAAAGGCTGGGTGAGGTAATCTAGCATGGGGAAATTGGTTCTCAAAAGCCAGGTATGAGTCAAGGGGATCAAGATCATGATGGGGGAACCCACAGAGACAGCTAACCTGAGCTCATGGGAGCACTTGGACTCTAGGGAGCCTTCATGGGATCAACCTAGGCGCTTGGCATGTGTGTGATGGTTGTGTAGTTTGGTCTGTTTGTAAGGCTCCTAGCAGTGAAATTCTTCCTTCTTTAAGGTAGCCTACCAGACATTTTGACACAGCAATGCAAAAAGTAATAAAAATAGCGAACATAGACCTCATTATCTCCATGCAAATTGAGAACAACACATGTGTCTCAAAATTCTGTGGTTGTTTAGAAACTCAAGGAGGAGTATTAGAAAGTTAGCAGCAAGGAGGCAAGAAGGTTGAGGGAACAAGAATCGGCAGGGTTATTCAAGCCAGATGGTGTAAAGTTATCCATACCACATGCCACTCCCAGCAATATTTGTCATTTAAGAGATTTTAAAGAAACAAAATTAAAAGACCCCCCAAAAAACCATCACAGAAACAAAATAGAATGGTATTTGCCCAGGACTGGGGTGGAGAAGATGGAGGGTTACTGGTGAGAGAATAGAAATGCCCAGTTGTAAGATGAAGTTCTGATACTTCACAATGATAGGGTCAATTATGCTACATGGTATATTTACGTTTTCTAGGACTGCATTAATTGTAAATGTTCTGAAGACTACACATACCAAAAGGCATGTTGTGAACTGGAAAGGTATCAGTAACTCAGAATGTGTTTATTAACTCATCACACATTCATATGTACATTCATTATCCTGGATACCTTACATGTGCATAATTTATTGTGGTTTATACTTCAATTCAACTTAAACAAAAGAAATGGAAGACCTGATTATTAACATAGCAGACTCTGCTCCTTGGTATCCTTAGTACTTACACAAAAGACTCATGAATTGAGTCACTCAACAAGAGGAATGGTATATCTGCATGGGACAGAAACCTGAACTCTTGCTCAGTGAATACTGTTTAGTTACTGCCACTGGCAAATGTTCAGTGTGTCAGCAGTAGATATCGATTCTGTGTCCTGTATGTGTCACCATATATCAAGAAGGGTAACATATCTATAAGTTGACAGTTGGGCCCCTTCTAACTTTAAAGGGACAGCAATTCACCTTCAGTGCTATCAAAGTGAATTCTAAATATGAATGTACTTTTCTCATCTAGAGGTCCTCTACTAGCACCATTAGCCAGGAGTGTACTGAGTTTGATCACCAACAAGGAACCTCACATAGCATCAACTTGAACCAATTGACCCTGTGCAGTAAAAGAAATATACTGTGAGTATGCAGACTTGGAATCCACTGGTTATCACAAGCCATCACACTCAGTTGGACTGGGAAGATGATGGGAGAGTACTATTAAGAAGACATCCAGGATTTTGCTTCAGTGTTTATTTGTGGGTATCTGCTTCTGCTTCCATCAGCTACGGGATGAAGGCTCTAGGATGGCATATAAGGTAGTCATCATTCTCATTATCGGAGAGGGTCATTTAAGGTAGCCTCTCCCCTATTGCTTAGATTGTTATTTGGGTTCATCCTTGTGGATCTCTGGACATTTCCCTAATGCCAGATTTCTATTTAAGCTTATAATGGCTCCCTCTATTATATTATCTCCTTTCTTGCTCTCCTCTATTTTTCCCCGACTCAATCTTCCTGCTCCTTCATGTCCTCCTCTCTCCTCTTCTTCTCCCCTTCTCTTTCTCCTAACTCCCTCTCTCCTCACCCCATGCTCCCAATTAGTTCAGGAGATCTTGTCCCTTTCCCCTTCTCCTGGGGACCACTTATGTCTCTCTTAGGGTCCTCCTTGTTTCCTAGCTTCTCTGGCAGTGTGGATTGTAGACTGATAATCCTTTGCTCTATGTCTAAAATCTATATATGAGTGAGCCAAAATCCTGGAATCCAGTTGCAGAGAGGGAGGAGTGATGGGCAAAGGGGTCAAGACCAGGCTGGGGAAACCTACAGAAACTGCTGACATGAACAAGGGGGAGCTCATGGACCCCAGACTGATAGCTGAGAAACCAGAATAGGACTGATTCACACCCCCTGAAATTGGGTGTCAGCTAGAAGTCCTGGGCAATCTATGGAGCCTCTGATAGTAAATCAGTATTTATCCCTATTATACAAATGGACTTTGGGAGCCCATTCCACATAGAGGGATACTCTCTCAGCCTATACACACAGGGAGGGCCTAGGCCCTGCTCCAAATCATATGACAGAATTTGAAGATCCCCCATGGAAGACCTCACCCTCCCTGGGGAACAGAAAGGGGATGCGATAGGGAGTTGGTGGGGGACAGAGGAGGAGGAGAGAGAGAGGGAACTGGTATTGACATGTAAAACAAACTTGTTCCTAATTTGTTTTAAAAATTTTTTTAAATATTTTTTAAAAAAAGAAGACATCTGGTAGGTGAAGAAGAAGAAAAATGCCTCCTGTGTTTCATAGTACAGTATATATCCTATATTAACCCTTACAGTACAGGGGTCTGTCCTCAATACACAGAGCACTCAAGTCTAATATGTAATTAGTGGAAATAAAAGTGATCTTACCTCTGTCACTCCCACTGACTTGGGGAACTTTTGCTGCCCATACTTGCAGGGCTAGAGGGTTTGATGTTCAAACTGGAATGATTTCGCCAGAATTATGACAAATATCAAACCTTAGTTACTAGCAGGGTGTTGGTGGCATGTGCCTTTAGTCCCAGTACTTGGGTGGGGGCAGAGACAGGAGAATCTCTGTAAGTTCAAGCCCTGCCTGGCCTACAAAGAGAGTTCCAGGACAGCCTGGACTGTTACACAGAGAAACCCTGTCTGAAAAAACAAACAAATACACTGTAGTTACTGCATGATTAGCTTGTATTCTGCATTCACAAGCCCAACTGCCTCAACTGAAATTATTAACCTTGCTTACAGAAATCATCAGAGTTATTATGATACATAAGGCAAAACTTTTATTTCTTGAAATTCCTCTGCCAAGTTTTATAATAAAGGAATAAATGAGGCAATCATGAACAGAAAAAGCATGGAGATCCTGGGATAATATGCCTCAGGGATAAGAATCTGGGCCATCAGTCAGGCGTTGGTGGCACACACGTTTAATCCCAGCACTCGGGAGGCAGAGGCAGGCAGATCTCTGTGAGTTCAAGGCCAGCCTGGTTTACAGAGCGATTTCCAGGACTCCCTCCAAAACAATACAGAGAAACTCTGTCTCAAAAAATCAAAGAGAGAGAGAGAGAGAGAGAGAGAGAGAGAGAGAGAGAGAGAGAGAGAGAGAGAGAGAGAGAGAGAATCTGGGCCATCATCACAAGATAAATCACCCACCCCTCAAATATGCTAACCAAATTTTTAGGAATGGAAGGCACAGGTAGACTATGAAAGGTTCCCATTGCAGTCTGAGGACTAGCCACAATAGTAGTGACTGCAGCTCAGCCCACTGATATTCTTTTGAATTTCTCTAGCAAAAGATGACCATCAGAGTCCTGAAGACACAGGTTACTGAAAGTGAGGCCAAGCAACACCAAGGGAAATCTCTAATGAATACTAAGCCCTAAGTCTTTAAGTTGCTGGAAATTGCTGTCAGACAAAGATGCCTCTAGCCCAAAACCAGGCTTCATGCAATTATTGACAGAATAAGATGGTCGTTGTACCCAAGAGAATGCCTGGAGCCCCAAACGAGCTTTCTTCCAATGAGTGGCAAATCCTTGGATACAGAGGATCTTCTTCCCTGGAATTCTATGGAATCACTTTAAAGTTCTCACAGGATTGCTGGGGTATTTGCTGTGATTGTATTATGTTTCTTTTACCCAAGGCATTGATTTCAAAGGTATTCCCCAATACCCTTGTACACACAAGTCACCATTTCAAAAAGCCTTTCTCTTGGATTCCAATCTACATCAAAATATTAAACATTATTATTAAGCATTTGGCATATGCCAATTCCACTATAATTAGCCTTCTTCAAGTAAATTCTGACATTAATATTAAAATACCCTCAATATATTCAGGGAAACAGAGGCTTGGAGAAATGTAATGCCTTATTGCTAGACTCCGGAAGTGAGCTAGCTTGTGATACACAAGTGGCTGATTATTCTATCATGTGAAATCATACAAACAGATATATTGTGAATAGGATGGTAGTTAGACAATTGGTAGAAAGTACATAGGAGATAGATAGATATACATGGACAGACAACTTATAGAATAGGAAGATGGTAGATAGACAGTAGAAAGATAATAGATAAGTTATAGATAGAAAAAGATGGATGAGAGATATACAATTGATAGAAGAAAAGACAAAGAGTATAGTTAGGGTTAGAAGAATATTCCCATGAAGAACTATACATGAATGAAAACTAGACGTTAAAGATGTGAGAACAGGGCTTTGGAGGAAATGAAGAAAATGGCACATTTCAGGTTGGGATTAGCCATGATGGTGACAGCACCCATGGATTTACATACATGCACACAAATTTACCTGAGCCATTACCACATGTTCTCCACTATTCTTCTTTTTAAGATTTATTTATTATGTATACAGTGTTCTACCTGCATGTATGCCTGCAGGCCAGAAGTGGGAACCAGATCTCATTGAAGATGGTCATGAGCCATCATGTGATTGCTTGGAATTAAACTCAGGACTTCTGGAAGAGTAACCAGTGCTCTTAACCAGTAAGCCATCTCTCCAGCCCCCTCTCTACTATTCTTTACACACACACACACACACACACACACACACACACACACACACACACACTGCTTCTTGGCAAGAAAAAAATTAATGGAAAGCTACAATCCTTTAATTCCATAATGTCTTCACTGCATATGAGAAATGGCAAGGATGAAGCAATGGGTGGGTAGCAATGGCACGGGAAAGCAATGCAAATCCCTCCCAGGGCTACTGGAGTGAAGCTGCCAGTACAGGAATGCTATGCCCCTGCCCTGCTATGTTGGTTCATTCCTGGAGCTCTAACCTTTATAAGGGGTTTGCTTAATGACAGAAGTATTCAGCTGCTTCCCTCAACCAATTAGAGTAAGGCTGTTTGGATTATAATTGGCCTTGACACAAGTCTGCTTAAAGAGATTCCCCAAGAATTATAGAACTCCTTTTAGAGTTTGACTTGGCTTAGGGTAGGAAATGTAACACAGTTTTTGAATTTTCTGTACCAAGCCACAGATATCAAATACACTTTGCTTTTTTGACTTATAATCACATTACAAATTGAACATTTCCACATGTACCATTTGGCAAATCCAAAGTGAATGATTATGAAGATCATAACTACATAGATCAGGTAAATTTAGAGTTACATGTTTAATTCACCAAATGTATTTTCTCAGGTCCCTTGACATCCATGTATGGTATGTTTATAGGATGTAAAGCCATCATTCCACATATAAAGCAAAAGTGTATGCCTTCAAACACTACTGCCAGGTCAGGTTATAAGTCAACATAATATTCAGGAGGTGTAAATCCTAAGAAGGGATAGATATTCCTAAGCTAACCCTGAGGAAATGGCTAATAATAACAGGTTGAAATTGAGAAGAATATGATTTGGACTAAATATCAAAGGGAGAAAAAGTAAACACCTGGCTACAATAACTGCTGGCTCTGAAGTAGTCCTTGCAGGAAACAGAGCCTTCTTCCTTACCCAGAACTCTGAAAATGACGTGTGATTGCTTGGAAACCCCTCATAAGGGGCAATTTTACCTCAAGAGTGGAAGAAGATATTTTTTTCATTTTGATTTCTATGACTTAGTAAGAAAGCCTCAAAAATAATCCTGTAATTACCCACTAACTATTCCCCGAACTGCCTTTGAGTGTGTGTATTATGTGCCATGTTCCTTCACAGCCAAGACAAACTCCACAATGTCATAGACATGCCCTAACTTGGGATTATTTTTCACTCAAACTCAACACAATCCTTGGAGGTCACTTGGTCTCACTTATCTCTGAGAATGTCTCCTTATAACCTAGCATTTTCTGCTCAGCAATATAACTCACCACCCTGGACACCAGCATCATTCTCTCCATCTCTCTAACAGAGATAGAGTCTTAGTTTATAGATGGAACAAAATCTCAAGTACAAATGAGTCAGAATCTCTCATATTCACAAACTGATTTGTGACTTCTCCCCTTCTCTGCAGAATTCAAAGTCCTCTTCTTGCTTCTACGATTGGGAAGAACTATCATAAAGATGCCCTGGATCTTTTGGGGGCACCTCCTATGCAGTCATCCTTGTCAAGATGCTGCTGAATATCTCCTTCCCTGCTCTCAGAAACTTATTAAAGTAGATGGAAGCAAGTCCCATACTTTCTATGAGAAGCACATGGCCATAGAATAGCAGCAAATGCTCTGGACGAAGAGTGGAAGGATTATATTGTTCCAGTGGTGTGAGTAACAAACAAAGTTTTCCTATGAAACAGGTGTCTTGGCCAATGTCAGAGTGAACCTGCTTCTGAGTAAGGCACCTTCTTGCTACAAATCAAGGAGAACTGTAGAGAGGAAATGCAAATCTATTCTGGGTGCATTTGGATGCCAATAGAAATACTCTCAACATGGGTATTTTTTAAAGGAGAGGACGTTCCTAGACTAGTACATAGTACTGTGCCTCAGTGGTTAGGGTCCAACAGAGATAGCAGAAACTGAAAGCTTTTAATTCTTGCTAAAGAAGATGACATATGATAATACGTTGTCAGAACACCCTTAAACAAAGAAGGTAAGAATTTCAGGACCAAAGAGTCTGCATAACACAATTTAGCATCTTGCTACTCTATGTGCCCTGCAACACAAATGCCATATTGCTCTGAAGAACAAATGCACCGAACAAAATAAGGAGACTGAAGAATATGGCTAAACTTTTGACCAAGAGAGGAAAGGAAGCCAAAGAAAAACTACCAGGAGCAGATCACCAAGAGACAGGCTGTCCTTGCTAAAAGCTTCTGCTTCTCAGTCACAATGAAAACTAAGTTTTTAAGAGTAACAAATAAATGGAGAAATGTTGAATCTAAAAATAAGATAAAATATCTCCTACCCCAAACATACTTTCCTCCTCCTACATAGCACTCCTCCAATCAGCTCTGGAGAAAGCAGAGTTCACTGCCTAAGAGCATGGCCCAGACACATCTAGAGTGGATATTGACAGAAAAACAAGTGTGGGTTGTAGCCTGGGTGACCACATATATAGTACATGTGTGGGGCTCCCACAGCATGGAAGTTGTGTAACTGAGAAGAATAAAGAAAGAGCTTGTTTGGGGTGTAGGGAACTAGAAATGACCTTTCCAAACTGCAATACATAGAGCAAAACTTTGAGAGACACATGATTTTGATTCAAGCATGGCCTTCTGGCTGTTTATAAAAGTATTTTGCACCAAGTTGAGTGGTACTGTACCTTGAAAGTATTATCCTAAACATAGGCATTGGAATCCAATGCCCTATTCAACATTGTCAGGAGATAAGACATCATTCATGAAGGTTCTCCCTGATGAGTGGGCTCCTGTCATCTTCTCTGGTCTGGTCATTTTTTCCAGAGTGGGTTTTGTGTTGTGCCTACTTTCCTTCTCTTCACCCATGAGATGATGTACCAAGAAGGCTCACAGGTGATAATCCTAGCTCTTAGATTTTTTTTCAATCCACAATCATAAAGAACAAATGTGGTTTCATTTGTCATTTACACAATGGGGGGTAGCAATTACAGTATCTCAGATTAAGACAGAAAACAAAAGAATCAACCTTCCTATATTCTCTCTTACAACTAGTTTTGAGTGTGTGGTAAGTGTTGTGGCTTGGGCAGGCATCTGTGTGTGCTCTTGGGGAGTCCTTCTCCATTGCTCTGCATTTGCATATTCAATTCTTAGGAAATGTTCTGTTTCAATTCACATTCATCAATTCTCTGGTAGGTTCTCACAAGTGTCTGTAACACTTTGAGGTAGTTATAAAGTCACTGTGAGAAGTCAGAGAAGATACTTGTAAAAAGTGAAATGTGGCTAGAAACAGAAGGCTTCAAAATGATACTTTTCACTGCTTTCTACTTACAAATGTGAGCACCCTTGTGTTTGCAGATACACAGTGTACACTTTGATAACAATTTAAAAATCATTGATATTTACTCTAAACGGCAGTTGCATGCTTGAGAACCATTGAGCTAATCATTCTGTTTCTATACTTTAGCCTTATATCTGATGCTAAATATTCCTACATTATAAAATCTTTCTGTTGCCCCCTTACCCAATTGCAGGATACATTTTTGCTTTTTTTGTTCACAAATTAGAAATGTGTGGTCATCTGGCATCTTCAACCTTCATGTGCTGCTCCCCTCTCTGATGCTTCTGTTTTTCTCTACAAACTACAGATCCTACATCTAGAAGTCCATCTCATATTCTGGGTTCTTCCCCATCTATTTCTGTGGCCTTCTTCAATTGCCTAACTAGACTACAGTATCTTTTAATGTTCATCCTACTGATATCTGCTGAGGCTCTGAGACTAATTCCCATATCATTTTGTGTTTCCATAATTTCATAATGGTCAATAAAAGCTTCACACTTCTCTCTTTTGTGGGAGAAAAACAAACCCATAAGCCCCTGCAGACTCTACTTACAATGAAAGCTTTATGTATTTCTTCTGTTCAATGTCTACGGTAACTTTTATAAAACATTAATGATGGTTTATAGGTGGTTCTGTTTTCAAGATTTTACTTTTACATAGTATCATGAGAATTTTTCATGTATTCCATTGTTTTTATAGTATAATGTTACACATGTCTTTAAAATATACTACTGAAATATTTTTACTAAGACCATGACATGACTGAGCTTGTGATTTGAAAATTAAATCTGTTGATGATTTGAAGGGCTGATAGGAATGGAAATAGACTCAACCAGAGAAACCAGACAGAAATTTATTTGATGAGACAGGCAAGCTACAAATCCTAGAACCATGTATGGCATTGAGGAAAAGAAGAAATAAAGGCAAGGGATTAAATATAAGAGAATTTTGTGAGGGACCTGGCAGGTGTCTGTGAAAGATTCCATGCTGCCTATAAGGGAGAAGCATGGTTTCTATTAGATGAAACAGATGCAGAGATGTCACCAAGAGCAGTTAAATAGAAAACAGAATCCAATCATACACCAGTGTAACCATCAGGGGGTTGTTCAACATGCAAACAGTAGCCAACCGAGTCTGTTTCATGCCTCTGGAAAGCAAGCCAAAGGAAATGCACAAAATGCATACACTGATATCAACAGCAGCCAGCAACTGGAAAAAAGGTTATAAAAGTTAGGAGTGATTTAGCAGTCTCATTGACAGAAGTTGTCAGTGCAAAGTAAGATGTGGCCAGATGGGTGAGCAGGTAAAAGGCTCTGGGCATCATGTTCTGTGACCTGAGCTTGATCTGCAGAACCCACATGGTGACAGATGATAATCACCTTCCCTAAGTTGTCCTCTGTCCTCCATATGCACACGGCTGTATACCTCATCTTAGGGTTGCAACTGCTACAATGAGACACCATGGACAAAGCAACTTGGAGAGAAAATGTTTTATTCAGCTTGTGCTTCCACATCAAGGTCCATCACAAAAGGAAGTCAGGACAGGACCTCAAGCAGGGCAGGGACCTAGAGGCCCAAGCTGATGCAGAGGCCACGGAAGAGAGCTGCTTAATGGCTTTGCCCAGGACCCAGGACCACTAGCCCAGGGATGGCCCTACCCACAATGGCCTGGGCCCTCTCTGCATCAATAATTACTTAAGAAAATACCCTACAGGCTTACCTACAGCCTGATCTTTTTTTTAAATTAAAATGTATTGTGTTTATTTATTTATTTTGCATGTGTGCCATGGTGCACGTGTGAAGGACAGAGGAGAACTGTGGAGATCAGTTCTTTTTTTCCAAAAACATTTTTCTCATTATATTTTATTAATTTTTTTTAGAAAAAAGCTTATTTCACATGTCAATGCTCCCCATCCCCCCCACAGCCTCCCACCCTATTCCCACTCCCTTCCACATAGGGGATATTCAGAGTCTGTCATTTTGTTCAGGGCAGGGTCCAGGTCCTCCCCCAGGAGTCCAGGCTGAAAGGGCATCCCTCTTTGTGGTATGGACACACAAAGTGCATTGTATGCCCCATGGATTGTCCAGGCCTTCTCACTGATGCCCACATTCAGGGGGTCTGGATCAGTCCCATGATAGCCTCCCAGCTGTCGGTCTGGGATCCAAGAGCTCCCCCCTGTTCAGGTCAGTTGTTTCTGCTGGTTTCACCAGTCCATTCTTTACCCCTTTGCTCATTATTCCTCTCTCTCTCTGTCACTGAGTTCCAGGGATTCAGTTCAGTGTTTAGCTGTGGGTGTTTGCCTCTGCTTCCATCAGTCACTGGATGAAGGTTCTAGGATGGCATATAAGGTAGTGTCAAACTCATTATCAGGGATGGGCTTTTGGCATATTCTCAATTGAGGTCCCCTCCTCTCTGATGACTCTAGTTTGTGTCCAATTGGCATAAAGCTATCCAATACAGATAAATAAATAAGCAAATTATAAAAGTAAAATATGAGGCAATGAGCTGTGGATATTTCTATAACCATGTACAATATAATTACTATCAATGTTTTTAATTTATTTTATTTTTGTAGCTTGTTGTGGAATTTAAGAAAACTATGAAACATTGTTTTTTATTTGTGGGAGGGGACATTCCCTGTGGAGGGTGACCTAAGTGAATACCCAGACGGGACTTCAGCAGCAGCATCATTCATTGCTCTCTGCTTCTGGTCTAAGGATACAGTGTTTCTAGTCCTACCACTGTGACTTCCTGTACCCAGTTCCTGGAACTTTGAGCAAGAATAAACCTTTTTTCCCTAAGTGGCCTTTAACACAGCATTTTATCACTGTTACGGAAAGAAACCAAGACAGCAACTGAGGCAGGTGGATCCTGGGAGCTCCCTGTCCAGTCAGCCTTGGCAGAAAGAACAAGTTTTCAGCGTCCAGTTCAGTCAGTGACCCGGTCTCGGGGAAACAGCACATTCCCTACGTGCTGTTCTGGATTTTGCATGTCACACATGGGTACAAGCTCTTACACACTTACATGTGTGTACCACAAACACAAAACACACACATACTCACACACACACACCACCACCACACCCATGAACAAAGAGGAGAAGGGGGTGGAAGCACATTTAGAAAGGGGCACATATCCTAAGTGCCAGCTTGGAGGACCATTGTGAAAGGAGCACATTCATGTGACCATCACATGGAGTAGAAAATAGTGCAATTCATGACCAAAAACTTATTCTATTTTTCTGAATCACTGTTTCTTCCCCTTTATGGAAATAAACACTATCTTTGTCATTATTATACACTAAAATTTACTGTTTTCTTCACATGAATAAATTTAATAACAAAGAATGTGTCCTTTGCATCTAAGATCTTTAACATTAAATATTCTTGCACAACCTAGTCTGTTGTATTTTATCATGAATTTTTACACTGAATAATATTTTCTGCATACAAATAGCACAATCACTTTTATGCTTACTTATTCTGTTGTTACAGAAGACTTTAATTATGTGTGATTCAGAGCTATTAGGATAATACTGCTGTGAACATTTCTGTACATGAATTATAAGCTGTGTCTGCATGGATTGTATGGATAACACATTGCATTTTGGCAGATGATGTTTAGAACATTTTCTAAAGTAGACACATCCATTTATGCTCCCACTGGCATTGTGGGAGAGTTTTCAATGCTTTACCCACATCTTGCAAACATTTAAGGTTGTCAGTCTTTAATATTCTTACATGTAGTTTGTGTAAAAGGGTTATCATACTGTGGCATCACTTGGTACCCGCTGATCTTTGATGAAGCTGAATACACAGACACCCTATGTTATGAGCTGCCTGTTTATCTTTCTGCTGGAGCTGTCTGTCTTAGCCCTACTGATTAGGAACATAAGTTATGAACCCAAGTGTCCAACAAGATATTCCTTTGGTAAGAGTATTTGAAACGCATTTTTAAAGTTCTACAATAATGTCTTGGAGATAATGTCTACATTATCTCAAATATTTGCTCCTTAGCTTTGCCTTTACTTATAAACTCAGCTGGAGCAGATTTTATGTTTATGTGTGATATGAGGTAGGAATCATTTCTCCCTAAATTAACTTGTGAATTCAAGAATTCCCAGTTGAAAACAACATCAAGAGTCCTTTAAACCATTTAGTTCTAAGACTCCATTTTTAAAAATGTGCAGTGATAATGGCCAGGAAATCCTGAATGAGTTTAATAGTCAAAGAGAATTGTATTGTGAGTTGTACAATGTAGGGGGAAAAGATTGGGGGGGCATCACTCTAATTGTCCTGAAGTGAACTACATATATATCTGTGCAGAAAA